TCGTGGCTGTGAGAGTAGAAACCCCGATGAGCCCACCTGGAGACGGCAGAGCACAGGGCCGAGCCCACAGACACGGGGACGGGGAGACAGGCTGGACCACTGACCACAGGGAGCGGTGGGGCCGCTCTCGTTCAGACAGTTGCAGAGCCTGATGGGATTGTTTTGGAACTCGGAGGCTGTTTGAGCTTTGGTGGCTTTGAGTGCAGTCGTGGCTGCCCACCCCACCCCACCCCACCCAGCCCGGCAGGGGTCCACATCTGTGCTCTCCGAGCACCTCGCTGGAGCCTCGGTAGGAAATAAGGACCTTGTCTTCCAAGCCTTGGGGTCTGCGTTCTGATGGCTACTTTTGACCCGGGAGGTGCAGACACACGGACAGGCAGCCATGTTGCTCCCCCACCAGGTGAAGAAGCTTCCAAGGAGCTTATAGACTCAGCTGTTCTATTCTTTCTCCCCTTTGGGGAGCCGAACATGGAAGGACTAGGATATTCAAAAGCAACTGCATCTATGAACTGAAGATGGGTTCACAGCCAAAAACTAGTAAGAAACTAGGACCCTTAGTCACAAACCTGCAAGAAAATGAATCTGCCAACAACCCGAGGGCTGGAGAGGGTCTTCCCTGTGCAGCCCCATGAGCCCCAGGGTGCAGGACCAAAGGGAGCTGTGCTAGGGGTCCTGATCCATGGAAACGGTGAGATAATGTGTGTTAGCCACCTCCTCTACCTGGGGAGAGTCCAGGCTCAGGAAAGACCCGCAAAAACCTCAAGCTTTTTTACCTTAGGCTGTTTAGAGACACTTCTCACAAGTGAAAAAAAAACCCCAAAAATCTGGGGAGAATCTGATTTCCAGAGTTACATCCAATGTTCACTTTTCAACAAAGTCACAAAAAATCGTCACGGAGGAAGCATAGAAAGCAGACTTGCTAGACTAAGACAACTGAAAGCTGCTCAAAGAACTAAAGAAAGATGCAGATGAAGACAGGAAAACAATATATAGTACAACATTTGAAGTGAAAATTCCTTAGAGGAGTTCAAAAGCATGTTTAAACAGGCACAAGAAAGAAACAGTGAACTTAAAGATAAAATGAGTGAAAACTTCAAAAATCTTGTAAAAGACACAAATCTACAAATCCAAGAAGTTCAATAAACTTCAGGTAGAATAGACTCATGGACACACCAAGATACATTATAATCAAGCTGTCAAAAGGCTAAAACAGAGAGATTCTTGAAAAGCAGAACAAAAGACTTGTCACACACAAGGAATTGTCAATAAGTTTACCAGCAAATTTTTCATCACAAATCTTGGTGGCCACAAAGAAGTGGTTGATTTACTCAAATTGATGAAAAATTATCACACCAAGTGTTCATTAAATGAATGGAAAAACAAAATGTGGTATAGTCCTCCAATGGAGTATTGCTCAGCCATAAAAAAAGTAAACTTTGATAGATGCTCTAACATGATGGACCTTGAAAATATTATGCTAAGTGAAATGAATCAGACACAGAAGGACACACATTTATGATTTCACCTATATGAAGAATAGGCACACTCATAGAAAGTAGAATAGAAGTTATCTAGGCTTGGGGAGAGAAAGGAAGGGAGTTATTGGTAATGGGCGCAGTTTCAGTTTGAAAAGATAGAAAGGTTTTAGGGTCGGAGGTGGAGAGATTAAGAGAAAACAACTCCTGGGCACGGACAGCAGTGGGGTGACGGCTGGGGGGAGGGAGAGGAGGAGGAGGGCATGAGGGGACAAATGGTGATGGAGACTTGACTCAGGTGGTGCACACACAGTGCAGGGCGCAGGGACGTGCTGTGGAATTGTGCACATTAACCTGTATAAGTAACCAGTGCCACTCCAGTGAATTCAATAAAGGGGAAAGGGAAGGTGTGTGACGGTTACACATCCTGTGACATGTGAGTAATGTCACTGGGCCATATATTCATGAACTTATGGTTAAATTGATAAATATTATGTGATGCATAGTTTACTGTGATAAAATATATTAAAAATAAAAATAAAAACCCAAACCAACCAGCATGACCAGCTGTGAGAGAGGTCACCAGCCCGGACGCTCGGCCGCGCCTGCCGGAGCCTCAGGGCAGCCCGGCGCCTCCGCAGAAGGCCCTCCCGGACCTCTGTCCGCTGACCGCCTGCTTGTGGGCGGGCAGGAGACCGGACCCCGTTTCCACAGCAAAACAACAGATGCCCGTCGTGTAAAGTCGTGAGTTTATTGCATATGTAACAAAATGACCTCCCCTCCCGGTCCAGCCTGCTGTACAGTCACTGTTTGTCTCGTGTTTCCAGCTGGTTCCGTAACCACATTAAATAGAACTAGTATTTTTTTTTTTTAAATACTTTTGATTTTGACATAAAACAGAACATTAGTGTACAACTTTCACAAAATAAATCAGCAATAAAAACAGTGGGAAGAATAACAAGGATAGCAGCAATACTTAAAAACAAGACATTACAAAATAAATTAAATACATTATAAAGTGGTTGAGAAACAAAAATAAACGAATTTTAAAAATTCATACTATGTTTCAGGAAGGCTGCCGTGGGGGGCACCGGCTGAGGGTGGGGCGGCCCGTTCTCGGCACAGGCCCCTCCCGACAGCTCAGCTCTGGGACCATCGCCCTGAACGTGGACCCGGGGCCACAGCCCCCTCGGCAGGCGGGTTCTCCCCACAGCAGCTCCGCTCCCGCCTAAAGCGCTGGCAGAGGGTGGTCTGCTACATCCCTGAGGGGGGCTGCTGACGGCTGGTGAGGGCGGAGCATCGGGCAGAGGTGCGGGACGGTGGCCCCGGGGGTTCCCGAGAGGACAGAGAAGAGCGGGCGTGTGCAGGGGCTCCTGAGACCAGTGCAGTCCGGAGCCTTCACCATTGCTCGCTGCACTGCTCTTTGGGGTGGTTCGAAAGGCCCAAACCATCGTCAGTGTTTAAGGTTCTAGGAGTGCAATGCCGCGCACAGGCAGGCCTGTTGGCAAGAGTAAACTGGAGCGCTGGGAAGGTCTGCTTTTCAGGCTCCTCGTAACACTCGGCTGACGAGGGGCCCACGGGCAAGTTAAGTGCAAAAGCAGAGACCCAGGCCTTATGGGCGGTAACTCGTGTCCCCAGCAGCTCCCGGAGGTCCAGACGTGACCTCTGGATCTCGCTGGGGAGACACCTGACCGGCGAGAACAGGCGGGCCGGCAGGGCCGATGCGGAGGGTGTTCCTGGCTCCTCCCGACGGCAGGAAGGCGGCCACACACGGTCAAATGCAACCTTCCTGCTGCCACGTCCTTCCCACCTCTGCACCCTCACTTCCTGCCACGAGGCCTTCCCGCCTGGCGCTGTCCTCTCCTCTCCCACCGGGCAGGTTCCGGGAGCGGCTGTCCCTCCCGCCCCCTGCTCCCAGAAGAGGACGAGGCCGGAGGGGTCACTGAGCGCCCAGGAGGCCCTCACATCAGGGGAAATGAGGCACCGGACAGGCCCCTGGGGCCCAGCGGGCTCCTGGAGAAAAGCCACAGTTCGGCCGGGACTCGGTGGCTGGACTGCGTTTTCCTTCTACGCCGAGTCACACGCGACATTCCTTCTCTCCGAGCCCCAGGAAGTAGCCCAGGGCTCAGCTCTCAGAGTCCACAGCTGGCATCGTGCCCACGGACGGGATGAACCTCTGTGCAGGGGAGCGCTGAGCACCCCCATGCCAAATGACAGGCTGCCTCCAGGGCAAGCCCAGGACCCCAGCGAGATGAGAAGCTGGTGTGCCAGCGTCAGTGACACCGGACGGCGGGACAGCTGGCAAACGCTCCTTCCAACCCACCTGACCGACGGCTGAGTCAGAAGCCTCAGCAGCCAAGTCTCAACAGTGAAACGTCTCGCTAATGAATGACCCTGTACTTGCCCCTAAACAAAACAACAAAACGCCGGACGGAAAAACCTGTGGCTGCTGCTGTCCTCGCGATCTGAGCTCTCTGGAGCCAAGCTGCTGTCACACACGCCCGCTTGTGCAGACTGGAGAGCGGCGTCAGGAACGAGGGTCTCGGCGTGCTCTGGCCTTGCTCGTCACATGAAGACATCAGGGCCAGTAAATCAGGTAGCACTTGTCAGCGGCACCACCTGATCTCCCTCTCTGCCGTCAGGGCCACACCCACACCTCTTTTTGTAAAATAGTAACTTGGGGTGGAGTCGGTCATCGAGGTTACCTGTTCCCTCTCCCTTTTAAGCTAGTTTGCACCAAACCAGCAGCTATCAGAACAGAATTTTGTTTATTAGCGTAGCTGTTAGCAATTTCCGCAGAATAGTGTGTTAAGATCCGAGGGGCCCAGCTGAACTCGGTGGTGCAGCGCTGTCCTGTGGCATTTCCACTGGGAAAGTATTTCAAACTGGGTAATGTGGCAAAAAGGACTCTTAAAAGGAAAGATCACTTCTCTCTACGCAAAACAAAAATTTCAACCAGGACGCCCTGGAAAGAAATGCCCGGGCCTCCAGCTAACGCTGCCCCTGCACGCTTAGGACTGAAGCTCCTGCATGGCAGATCCGGTGAGCGTGTATTTTGCAGTAAGTTTTCAGGGGGAAGTTAATCTTCGACCCAGAGCAGGCTGCTAGGAAGTGAAATTTGGACTTTGGAAAGGGGCCTCAGGACTGTCCTGACAGAATCGCCAGCGTAGCTACCAGTTGCAAACGCTCAGAAGGCTGAGCTCAGTTCATGACTCGGTAGAGCCTCCGGCAAAGACCACAGGGCAGTGAGCCTACGGCCGGATGTTACAACTGGAGCAGAGCATCCTGTGTGAGCAAAGCCAGACCTAAGCCTGGCTGCGTTTTATTGGATGGCGATGGAGGGTGGGAGTACTGTCGTAAGGAGGAGAGGGGGTGAGAGCCATGAGCCAAAGTCCCCTGCCCTCGCTCCCAACAGCACGGAGGGACGTCCTCTGGAATCCAGTGCCTCGGCCGCTTCCAGGCGGCGCCGAGCGGAGGCTTTGGTCTGGTGGTCGTGAGCTAGAATCTGTTGCCTTTGGTTGCTCTTCACTCCACAGCGAACCCACAGGTCTCTTCCACCGCTACCAGCAGCTTCTCGTAGAGCTTTTCGTAAGACTCATAAGGTGGAATGTCGATCCGGTTAAAGCTGGAACAGGACAAAAGGGCGAGAGTCATTGCTGGCTGCTGCAGGGGCAGGACAGAGCACCCCGCCGCCCACTGGGGAGGGAGGAGGGGAAGGCCTGTTCCCTGGTTCTGAGGGGCGGGGGCAGTGGTGAGCGGACACTTCCCCTTTGTACTTTTCTTCTTAATGCAAATATTTAAAAATCAACACACAGCAGCCTGGCTGGGTGACTCAGTGGTTGAGTGAGGACCAATGACACAGGAAGTCATGGCTCAATTCCCCATCAGGGCACATGCTGGGGCTGCAAGCTCAATCCCAGCAGGGGGCGTGCGGGAGGCAGCCGATCAATGATTCTCTCATTGCTGGTGTTTTCTCTCTCCCTCTCCCTTCCTCTCTGAAATAAATAAAATATATATTACACACACACACACATACACGGCAAAATAAATCTGAAGATCTTTAAACCTGATCTAAAACTAAATATTTCCTGGCGACAGCAGGACAAGCTCTCAACTGGCCCTGTCTGCTGTGTGTCGGGGAGGAATGCCTCGGGCCTGGACCAGCGCCGGCCGCAGTCACACAGATCGCCACTAACGACCTGTGCGCGTCTTCTCCTCGGCGACAACTCAGCCCCCATGGGCCGTCTGGAAAATCCCTGCAAAACTATTAAATGTCAAATCTCTGACGGGTCAAATGAGTCTTACATTTCTAACTCAGTGTTTCTATGGGGAAATCCATTTCCAATGTTTGTGAAAAGAAAGAAAGAAAAAAAAAAGACGCCTCCAAAGTAGCTATTATCTCAACAAATAAAAAATGCAAACTGTGACCAGAGGGCACAGTGGCCTATTGAGTCAGGACGGGCCGAGAACGGAGAGGCTTTTGTAAGAGAGGGCGGTGAGTGGTGGGGGCCTTTCTTTGAGAGCCTCAGCGTCAGAGGTTCCCATTCCCGGTTCACTCCAAGCACCACTGTCAGAGGGAGGGCACCGAGAGGAGCGCGCGCATCGCCGTCCTGCCCCTGCCCGGGCGCAGCGCCCTCGGCCTGGCAGCGCCTGCGGCTCTCACAGCCCCTTCGCACACGTGGGAGCCCAGCGCACACAGAACCCGCCCGAAGGCACAGTGTCACCGGCATCTGAACATGCGTCCTGGGCTCCCGGTCCTGATCCTGCCGGCACGGAACGAGGCAGCCACACGTGGGACTGGTTCTCCTGACCCAGCATGGCTGTTCCTTTGATTTTAAACCACAAAGGGAAGAACCCTTACAGGTGAGGTTCGTGTTGAGGTTAGTTTTCAGTAGGCAGGTGCATAGTCACGGGCAGAGCTCTGAGCGGGACGTGGGGTCCAGGAAGGTCAGCTAAGGGAGAACCAGTGAGTCCAACTTAAAGACTGCAGGCCCTGCTGACGGCACATGTGTGCACACGCACGTGAGCACACACACACACACACACACACGTTGCGAGACCCAGAAGGGCAGATGGGAGCCCGTCGGAGTCACAGCCAACATCACCTCTCCCGACAGAACTGGCCTCATGAGAGCCTTCCGATGGCCCTCGCAGGTGGCTGCTGCCAAGTGCTGGGTACCCGGGACTCGACCCAGAGTGAGTGCTGCGTGTACCGTGAGGCACAGGGGAGAGCCGGGCCGAGGAGCTGTCCTTACCAGGTGTGGGCCTTCGGCAGGTTGTCTGTGTTGGCGTCGATGAGGTGGATGGTGAAGAGCCGGGGCCCTGCGGCGCCTGTAGAACCTTACAGACAACATTCTAGTCACTGCACTTCGGAGGCCGAGCCTGGACCCTCCACCGTGTCTGCCCAGGCGGCTGTCCTCCCTGGTCAGAGCCCCGGGCACCTGCCCGGCCACCCGGTGACCAACGCCAGGCGGATGAGAAAACCCCGGGCATGGAGCACAGCCTGGGAGAGCCCCGAAGCCCCAGGTGGCAGTGAAGGATAACATCCCCGATCACAGGGATTCCCTTTCCACAGGAGGTTCAGCAAGCAGGCCCCTGGCTCTGAGTGTGGGGAGTGGTGAGTGACCACTGCACAGGGCAGCAGTGTGAGAGCAGGACACAGCCAGGACACTCCCGGCAGAGGGCAGAGGCAGGTGGAGAAGGAGCAGACACTGCCTGGGACCTAAGCCCTGGGACCGGAAGTAACTGCTCTCACTCAGAAACCCTTAAAACAGGGAAAGTGCAGAGAATGTCTTATAAATGGAATATATCTGCTGTCACTATTAATATGCAAAGGTCAATTTTCTAAACTTTATTATATTCTTTACTTTAATCCTTCTGGCTATCGGGATTATTAAGTGACAAAAATCTACAATCACAAATCCCAGGGAGAGCCTGCGGGGACCTTCCCCAATGCTCGGGCTGACTGTGAGCCCCGAAACCTTCCCCGAGGCACAGACCCGCCCCACAGCCGCTCCTCCCTCCATCCTCGGCCACTCTGATGGGTGAACCGGACGGACGAGAGCAGGCAGCTCCCAGCCAGGAGCTGCCCAGACAGCGCACGAGTGCAGCTCAAGGACTGGGGGCCGGGGCCGGGGCCAGGGCCGGGAGCTAATGACCATGTGGCTCGGTCTGCTGGTGTGCAGGCCGGGCCCTCGCTCCTGTCCCCTAATGAATCCGTCCTGCACTTCAAACCGCTCTTTCCCCCAAACCATGCTTTGTGCCCTCCCTGTCAGTCAGTCCTGTAGGGAAGGGGGGTATCGGCTCCCGGGCCATCCTGAGCGAGTGCTGCTGCCGCACAGACTGGCCACAGGCCCGCCCACCAGCGGAGGGCCGGGCTCAGGGGGCTGGACAGGTGAGAGCTGGGCTTTGTTTTGCTGACGGCCTCTCCTGCTCTTTATGGCATTTTCTTTCAGCGTGGGGAAGGACAGAACCCAGAGCCCGCCTCTGGGGGAGAGAGAGTGTCCCTCGGCCGGGTGAGCCCCTCGGCCGGCTGACCACTGGCTATGAGCCTGCAGGCCACACCGCTTCCCAGCAGGCATCTCAGGAGCCAAGCCCTCCCCATTCCAGTGCCTGTCCACATGCTGCCACCAGCCCCGCCTCCACGTCAGTCACCTTGCAGAGCCTTGAAGCCTTGGAGGGGGACGCGGGTGGACCCCGTCACGAACTGCAGGAGCCGGGCCCTCCTCTCCTCATCAAAGGTCTCCACCGCCTGCCAGAACCACCGGACGATGTTGCTGTCGGCCGCGCAGTGCTTCAGCCGTGTGTTGGACTTCCAGTCGCTCAGGTCTATCTTGTCCAGGCCGCCGATGATCAGCTGCAAGGCCAGAGGTGGTCATTTCTAAATGACTCCACGGTCCCAGCATAGGAAAGGAGTTAAGGTTGGTTCCCAGTGCAAAGAAGCAACCATGTCCAAATAAACCAGACACACATTTAGACAAGAACAGAAACGGACCAACGGGACGCCCCAAGCACAGCGCTCCTGCCCCGTCCGGCTGTCTCCCAGCCCCGGGACCACCTGGCGGCTCCTGATGGGCGCTCTCCCCGCTGTGGGGTGTAGTTCTGTGCTGCCCGGGGAGCATGGGGGGAGCAAGAACCACTGGCAAGACTGCCCGGAGCTGGGTGCAGGACGGGCCACATCCCAGTGGCCCTCAGGCAGTGACATGGGCAGCTGAGGCCTGAGGGGCGGAAGGAGGGTGTGTGCGGTTCTGCCACCTGCTGGTAAGGTCCTCTCCGCAGCTGCTCGCCAGGAGGCTGCTCCCTGCACCCACTGGGCAAGGCGAGAATCTCTTTAAAGCCTGGAGCCATTGGCACCAAACAGACGGTAAGAGATGAATGCCTTGCTATGTTCAAGTACATGAAGCACGAGCAGAAGACAGTAAGCTGTGGTCTGAGTCTAGTAACAGCAAACGCTGACGTGCGGGAGAAGCTGGCAGCAGCGAGTCAGTTTCCTGGCTCTGAGGGGACTCACTGCTCAGGAGGCTGGGACTCTGCCTGCTACGAACCTGAGAAGCCACAGAGCACCCCGAACAGGCCCCAGGGTCCGACTCACTGCCACCGTGTAAGCACTGGCCTCAAACCGGCTCAGGCCCCTCCAGGCCCCTCTCGGGCCAGCCCTCTCACTCCAGTGCAGCTCCCTGGCAGCAGGTGCAACCAACACCCGGGCCCCCCCGCCGTCAGCCCGGCCCCGCCCGGCGCGGGGAGCACGCACCTCCAGCTCCTTCTGGTCGAAGGGCTTCAGTAAGTGCTGAGGAATGAGCTCGTTAAACCCCTTCTGGAGAGCCAAGAACTGGGCTTCGATTCCTCTCATAAACCTCCAATTTACGTACAACCTGGAAGAAAAAGGCACAGGTTGGCAGCAACACCAATGGATCATGAAAAGACGTTTCCCCAGGAGCAGGTTCTGACATCTGCTGTCTCACACCTTGCCACCTGGCCGCCTGACAGCCCAGATGGAAGCCCTGACCTAAGTCACAGGTTCACATAAGCCACGCAGGCCTGGCACGTGCTGCGTCACTGCCAGGGCACAATGTGAAGTGCACTCGGAAATAAAGTGCAGGATGCGCCCAGCAGGAGCCACCAGGTGGTCCCAGGCTGACAGCTGGAGCACAGAGATGCCCATGTTTCTATTTTTTTTGTCAGTCCTCACCTGAGGACATTTTTTCCCCTTGATTTTTAGGGATATCTATATCATATCTATCTAAGAGAGAGAGAAGCATTGGTGTGAGAGAGAGACATCAATTGGCTGCCTCCCGCATGCACCCTGAGCAGGGCCAGGGATCAAACCTGCATCCCAGGTACGTGTCCCTGACTGGGAATTGAACCTGTGACCCTTCGGTGCATGGGCTGCCGCTCTAACCACTGAGAACACTGGCCAGAGCGAGATGCCCCTGTTTCTAAGCTGCCTAGTTGTTTATTTGCCCGAAGAGGTGGGAGAACAGACTACAATGGAGGAGACTGATCTCCAGGGACGGCCGGGCTTCTTCCTCCCTCCTGGGCCCTGGCTCCTCCACACACAGGCCTGGGTGGTGGCCTCACCGTCCTTCCCTCCGGGGTCCCGGGGTCCTCACTCTCCCGTCACCAGGACTCCCCAGAGAGCTCCTCCTGCTGAGCCCCACGTTTGGGAAGCCTCTTCTATACCGTGATTCTGATCGCTGCCAGCGGGACAGCAAACCTCACGTAGCAAAGGAGGCTCCACAGCCAGGCAGGCCCCGGCCACGCCCCGGCCGGCCGGGCGAGGTGCCCACCGCGCCCACCGGGCCCAGCACGTTACCGGACGTATTCTTTCTTGTTCTCCTCGGTGACGGGCACGTTCCTGCCGTTGGGCTTCAGCTCGTGCTGAAGGATCCTCCCGAAGGCGTTGTGCTCCACACAGAAAGTGTGGTCCAGCACCGGGGTGATGTCGTTCTCTCTGTCAGGACGGAGAGGTGTCGGTCAGACTGCGCCCCGGCAGCCGCGCACAGACGCTCACTCAGGGAGCAGCTGGGAAGGGCGCGTCACTGCTGCCAGGCCAGGGCGCGCTGAGGGGGCAGCTCCGGCTCCAGGGGCGTCCTCCACTCTCAGCCCGGGGCGGGGGCGGGGGCAGCACTGCCAGCCTATGACGTTCCGTTACGGGCACCTGGCTGCTTAGAAACTGTGTCTATGCGCAGGAAGGAGTCATAAAGGGAAACCCGCCCCCAAGAAGCCACCGCCAAACACTGTCCCCCTTTAAGGCAGCCTTTTCAGCTCCGCAGGTCAAAGCAGCTGAAAGCTAAGACTGGCCCCGAGGTGGCCAACCAACCTGGGAAGCTCAGTGGGTTAGACCCGTGGTCGGTAAACTGAGGCTCGCAAGCCACATGCAGCAATTTGGCCCATTGAGTGTGGCTCTTCCACAAAATACCACAGCCTGGGCGAGTTTATTTTGAAGAAGTGGCGTTAGAAGAATGAGTTTGCCGAAGCCGGTATGGCTCAGTGGATAGAGCGTCGGTCTGCGGACTGAAAGGTCCCGGGTTCGATTCCGGTCAGAGGCATGTATACTGGTTGCGGGCACATCCCCGGTAGGGAGTGTGCAAGAGGCAGCTGGTTGATGTTTCTCTCTCATTAATGTTTCTAGCTCTCTATCTCTCTCCCTTCCTCTCTGTAAAAAATCAATAAAATAATTTTTTTTTTTAAAAAAAGAAGAATAAGTTTAAAAAATTTGGCTCTCAAAAGAAATTTCAATTGTTGTACTGTTGATATTTGGCTCTGTTGACTAATGAGTTTGCCGACCACTGGGTTAGAGCATTGTCCTGATACACTAAGGTTGCAGGTTTGATCCCCGGTCAGGGCACATACAAGAATCAACCAATGGATGCATCAATAAGTGGAACAACAAATTGACATTTCTCTCTCTCTCCCCCCCTCCTACCCTTCCTCTCTCACTAAAATCATTTAATAAAAAAACCCAACAATCCCAAACCACTAAAGGCCTGGAGATTAATTAATATTTGTTATATGTTAATAATTCAAGGAAATAACAAAAGAAACTAGTCCATGAAAAGAAACTGGCCAAACATCAATGAGGAAAATAAGTTAATTAGTTATTGTTTTTATTTTTTGTTAATCTATTTTTATATTTGTTTTTTTTTTTTTGCTTTTTTAAAAATCCTCACTTGAGGACATGCTTAGAGAGAAGAAGGGGGAGCGAGGGAAAGAGGGAAGGAGAGAGAGAGAGACATTGATCAGTAGCCTTCCGTATTCTTCCTACCAGGGATCAAGCCCTAAACCTGGGCATGTGCCCTGACCCGGAATGGAACCAGTAACCTTTTGTTGCACTAGATGACACTCAACTAACTGAACCACACTAGCTGGGCTACTTTTATATTTCTGGTCATAAAACAATAGTTTATTTCTCTTCTCAATTTCACACCTATCCTCAAAACACACACACACACACACACACACACACACACACACACACACACTCACATACACAAATGTATTGGGCGTACACTAAGACAAGTGGCTATATATGAATGTTCAATGAACTGAACAGTGAGTCAATACTTACAGAATCCACACTAAGCTCTTATGTAGTTCTGGGTCCACCGATTCCAAATCAGAGAGCTGGATGGGTTTCCCCAGTAGCTGCTTATAGAAGGGGACTGTGAAACCCCCGTTTATGTAGTGTCCATGGAACACAGCCAGACCCATGATCCGACCAACAAAATGGAAATAAGACAAGTGGTCCTGTAGGGGGCACCAGAGAACATAAATTCACTTAAGAAGAGTCCAGGTGATTATCCTGTGATTGCTCCAGCTTCTTGGAGAACTGTCCCACAGGCAGCAACACCGAGTCAGGGACTCCCAGGCTGTGCTCGCGGCCAAATGAAGACGGCTGCTTGGTTAGTGAAAACGAGCACACATCTTTTGTATAGATCACTGGAACATTTTATTTGCTCTTAGTTCAACACATTTCCTCAGAATTGCTGCATGATCTGTGGGACCCAGTGCAAAATGAAAACGCAGAGCCCCTTATTAGAAAATATTAAGAATTCCAGCACGGCAACAGCAGAGATTCAAAGCAAACATGGTCCCTCTGTGAGCAGGCTCTGAGCGCTGGACGGGTCACAGCTACACTTCTTCCCATTGAGCCAAAGAGAAACAAAGAGCAAAGGGCAACTCCCCCTCTTCCTCTGCCATGTCTCCCCAGTCACACAAAAAATAAGAAAAACAGAAGGAACACAGAGGAAAAGAGGTTTGAATAACCCAAGTGAACGAGCCATTTTAAAACCAGAGCTGTCTGGTTTTTAACTAACAAGGGAAGCTCACATTTCTACATTCAGGTTGGAATTATACTCAGATAATTAGTCAAAACTCAGTTTCCATGTTGGTAAGAGGTTGTCACACTGGTGCCTGCAGAGTGGCGCTGGCCCAGGACTGCGTGGGGCTGTGCACGTGGTGGCGCCGAGGCAGGATGCGGCCCCACAGGGAGTCCACCCTTGAGGCAGCCACTCTGCTCTAAAACAAGAACTAAGGGTGTCAGTACCGGTGCCAAAAAGGCCACTTATGGGAATGTTCCAACTTTGGAAGGAGGACAGACTTCGTAACACACTTCTCAGAATGACACTGCCAACAAATGCACCCTCCCATGGCAACAAAGTGCTGAGTATATGAGCAACTCAGTCCCTCTTGTCCTTGAAAACAGCGCAGCAAGTGGGCGCAGCCACAGAGGCACAGGATTGAAATCACCCATCTTAATCCAGTTCTCACTCTACCTTTTTTTACCATAGAACTTGAGTAAGACTACAGTGAATAAATCCAAAATTGAGATGGAAATGAAAATTCATTTTAAAAATTTCCCAACTTAATTTCTTGCTTATTCACTCATTAATACTTACAGGGTTGATGGAGGAATCTGGGTTGATTTGCAACATGTAAATGTTGTCCGTAGAGTATTGGAAAAGCCCATAATATGGATTCAGCATTTCATGGCACAATAAATAAAGCCACTCCCTAGGGATAAAAGCAATAACAACAGACACTAAAACATGTTATATGTGCTAACACTCCTAGTTTTAGGTCATAACAAAAGGACTGAACCTCTAGAGGCCCAAACTGGTACCCTACCTGGCTGTGAGAATGTGATCTGTAAGTTTGGGAAAACAAGCCTACAGACGTAAACACTTGTTCTGATAGTATCAGAAATGGCTTTTCTGGCCCAAATGCCAAATACTCTGAAAGAACTGTGGTTGACACACTCTGTAGAGAAGGTCACATGAAGGACGTGTGCCGGCCTAAATTGTGGCCCCCAAAATGCCACATCCGAATCCCAGCATCTTCCATAGCAACAGAAACTCTGAGCTAGAATTAAATCGAGGACCCCGAAGTGGGACTACATTAAAAGAATGGCTACCACCTTCCACGTCCGGTCTTTGCAGCTGCTCACAGGGCCAATGTTCCTGGCCCTGTGCTGGGGTTTCTCTGCTGCTCTGCAAAGATCAGAGCCTCCAATGATGGCGTTAATGGTGCAGTAATAACTGACAGAAGTGCAGTAAAGAGGAGTATGATCCTATTTGTATTTAAAGAGTGTGTGTACATACATACATGCACACACCAAGCAAAGATGTATATGCAGGCTTACACCAAACGGGGACAGTGGTTAACCTGAGAACTAGCATTCTGGGGCATTTCATTTCTTGTGCTTTCTAGTTTTTAAATTTCTGATCAATTGTAACATATAATAACATTTATATAAGAATAAAATATGTCACAACTTAGAGAGGCAGGGATTGTTTAAGACTGTCTTTCCCCCTCCGTATGTTTCTGGTGAATTTTTTTTTGGCATAAACATTTATCATGTTTATAATCTTAAAAACTAAAAATCTGGATGGGGTTTATAAGAATTAATTATTCTCTGAATCCCTTGATGTTTGAATTATTTTGCTATGAAAAACAAATAAAAATTTAAAGAGCTCTCTGAATAGAAGCTGTATGACTTACTACTTCTGGGCAGTGAGAAGCCCAGGTATGGGGAACCTTATACGGAACACCTGTGGCAGTTCTACACACATACACACACACACACACACACACACACACACACACACACAGCCTTTTATTCTTTCTATTCAAACTCCTTTCAAATAGATACATCTCATTAAGATAGCAGCCCCAACTTTTATTCTGGAAGTCTTTACTCTTTCAAATAGAAAAGACAGACAATTGAGAAAGAGTAGGAAAGGATAAGTGCAAATGCAAATAATCTAAGAGAATGGTGAAAATCCATAAAAACAGCCAAGCCAAAGCAAAGCTAATAATATATCAAACTCCAAAGAACAGAAAGCAACTGCCAGGAGGGTGAAACTCCAAATCTTGTAAAGTCTCTTGACTAAAAAGGCAAAACTTCCCAACACTGATTCATCCCCAAGTTTGGGAGTTTGGGTTTGAGAAGAATCTTTTTCATAAAAACCAGGGACCTGCAACCGTCTAGACAGGAAGTGATTAAAATACAAGCAAACATTCTGACCAAGCCAGGGACAAGGGAAAGAGGCATACTAGGAATGTTCTGGAAGTGGGAGGGGAAAAGCAATACAGGAAGAAGAGAGACAACAGCAACGGTTCAGATCAAAACACTGGGAAGATGAGTATAGACTGATTCTCAGTGAGTAGATGATGAGTACACGTACACACACACACACACACACACACACACGTGGTTTTGTGGTAGGCAGTTAGACATAAGCAGAGCAAGGACAATGGGTCAGGTACAGAAGGTCACCTCGTGAAAAGCGCTGGTGCCTAGCAAAGGACAATCATAGGGTGGGACCTCGTCCCCAGGATGACCTTTCCTCCCCTAGCACAGTGTTGGTAAACTGAGGTTCTTGAGCCTCATGCAGCTCTTTGGCCCCTTGAGTGTGGCTCTTCCACAAAATAGCACAGTCTGGGCGAGTCTATTTTGAAGAAGTGGCATTAGAAGAGGTTTAAGTTTAAAAAATTTGGCTCTCAAAAAAAATTTCAATCATTGAACTGTTGATATTTGGCTCTGTTGACTAATGAGTTTGCCAACCACTGCTCTAGCATATGGCTGGTTTGGACCCCCTGACCTTTCTCCCTTAGATAACCGGTACGCCTCAGCTCCAGGCCCAGAAAAGCAGCACAACCAGACCAGCAACACCTCTGCTAAACTCAAGACCAGCTGCATTGACTCCCTTCCGTGGTGCTGGCCAATCAGTCAGCAGAGACCTCAATAGACATACCTGGAAAGCTGCTGAGTAGTCAGCCTATTAATAGCCCCTGGGACTTTTTCTGAACTCTCCACCCCACCGATACAACCCCTAGGACAGAGGATCCAGCATGCTCTCGCCTTTCCCTCCCCCACCCCAGGCTCCTTACCTTTGCCTTCCTCACTTACAAGCTCCAACGGCTCTTCCTTTGCCTCTGTAACTTGTTTCCTAAGCCCATTTCTTCTATTAATTACTTCCACTATCTCTGTGATTTTATAAATAAATGCTCTCTTAGAGTTTGGATCTTGGCTCTGAATTGTTTCCTAGTCAGAACTCAAGTACTGAAGTTGCCACGGGTCTAACAACCAGTGCCTTCCTGTGCCTATAATAGTTCCAATCTCTCCTTCATGTCTAGATGGGCATGATCCCATCTGGACCTGAGAAGAATCCAAGGGGTGAAACTGCAATGTGAGATCAAACTAGAGATGGCAGAGCAAGAGTTCACACCCACCTCCCCTCAAGTACCATGTTACTCAAGGGAGCCACACAAAGCTAGCTCTCTGTGGGAGACTTGGTAACTGGAAAAGGCAGAAGAGAACTACCAACCAAACCAAGCTATTCACATGTGTGCCTAGGAATACAGAATATCAGCCATGCAAAGAAATAATGGTGAACTGAAACAATCTGAGGTACCGAACTCTTGAGACTATAAGGGCAATTGCACAGGCAAGAAAGTGGAGGCAGTCAGACCTGCATTGTTAGGACAAGTATGAAGGACTGAGAAGGAAGATTCTCATCTGGAAAGGAGGGTGGAAGCCAAAGCCTCTAGCCAGGAAATGGAATTAGTGCTATCAAAGCCAAGAGAAGTTACACTGGCCAAAAGAAAGATGGTTTCTAGATAGAGGAAGAAACTTGGGGCAATCTTGAAAAGTATCTCCTGTGAAGAGGCAGCCCCATGTGAGCTCAGGTGAGAAAATGCAGGCTTTCCTGCACCCCTACCTCAGACAGTCTCAGAACTGAGGGGGGAGGTGTGGTAAAGGAAAAGGTGATTCGGCCTGAGGAGCCGCCCCCTGAGAGCCTTTGTCTGTGAGGTGGTGCTCTGAGGAGACTGCTGTGAGCGGACTCTGCATTTCAGTGGGCTCTTCTTTCTGTTTGGCATTTCAGGTATGGAGTTTATTACTCTGGAATGCAGGACTGTGTTTTATTATAGCTATGCTGAAAAGCATGCAGCAGAAAGGGTGAATAAATTAGCTTCTCACCTCGCCACTCCACCATAATCCAAACCTTCTTCTCCACGAAATTTTACCATTAGTCGCTTTTTCAAGTCTTTTGGTCGCATCTTCATTATCTGGCGATAAGACTCCTATATATAAAAATTACAGTATTAGAGAGAAGAACTTTTCTTAAAGTAATAAAAAGATGAAAGATTATTGATAACTAGTGTCCTGGTGCACGGATTCGTGCACATTGAAGGGAAATAAATTAGAAGAAATATTTTAATATCACTATTTGCCCTTTCTCTATAATAGAAGTGTCAACCAAATTCATGATCAACAATGACAGACTAAAACACACGTGTGCAATTGGCGCCAGTGAGAGCTTTATATGTTTTGTGCATGCGCAAGTCAACCTAACCTTTTATATACATAGAATAAACTTGTTTAATTAAAACCTGCTTTCTGATTTAGCTAAACTTTTTCCAACCCAGTGAAGCACCCCAATTTCTCTTCAGGTAATTGTCAGCAACAGAGCAATAAATATCAAAACAAATCAGGTTATTATTGTAGATCACACAGGGAGAACAAAGGGTAAAATATTAAACTACAGCCATTTTTACTATATTCTGCACAGTGAGAAAACCTGAAGTCATTTTCAAGTTCTACCATTTCTTCTTTCAATTGGGTCAAGTTTCTAAACTTTCTTAATCTCCATTTTCCAGCTAATGAAAAGAAAATAGGATTCTAATGAGTCTCCTATCTATCTACTCCAGGACTTCTGTGAGGCTCAAATGAGATGAGGCATGTGAAAACGCTTCAAAAACATTTGGTTAAAGTGTAAAATGTTTGCACCTGGCTATAAAGCAAGTTGTGTTTCTGGACTGAGAAAATCAAGGAGGCTAGTTGCTAGGGAGAGGAAGCCGGTATTGCTATGTGATGTCATTACCTGGCAACTACAGTGACTGTTTCTGGGCTGGGCAGGGCTGTGGGCCACATTTTGCATCATGGGTTCTTGGCAGCATCGGCTGTGATTTGGAGGGCTGTTGCTCTGGGGTGGTGGCAGGGCCTGTGTCCCACTTGGGGGAAGCCAAGTGTTGGTTTGTTGGCACCAGGTCCACAGTGCCGTGTCTTTTTAAATGGCCAGTGTGTGTCATGGCAGCTCCTGCACTAAGCGTCTGCCTCCTGGTGGTCATTGCATGTCATAGCTACTGGTTGGATGGTAGGGCGAACACTTAGGCTTTTATATATATATATAGATGGAGTCTGATTCAAAATAGCATTCATTCAAATCCGAGTTCTATCTGGTTCCTATTTAGCATGTTTATACAGGGTGAGCCACTGGCCAGGCTTCATATTTTAACCATAATGAAGACGTCATTAGAAAGTCTGAATATTAAAAGAATTCTGAGCCTGTTTTTATATCTGAAGCTTAGCTAAAACAGAAAACACGTGGTCAGCCCAATATTCCCTCAGATTCAGCATTTGAGTAGAACCAGCTAAGTGTTTGTAGATATTTTCAAGTGATAAGGCACTTAAAAATCATTTCATGCTTTAACTTTAATGTAATGCAAACTCTGCCATCCCGAGAGGGAAAGAGGAGGTTGAGTGGAAATGATCGGGCATCAAAATGACAGCAGTTCCGCTCCTCTAACCCTGGAAGCACTTAAGGCTGCTCAGTGGGCAAAGCTGAGCACTTCGGCTGCCCCATTCGCTCAGTGCTGGCTGCGCAGGACCACGCACGGCCCTGATGCATCCTCTGCCCTTCGCTGTGGAGGTGCTGGGCCCTCGGGCTGCAGCCCCTGAAGAATCTGTGTCCAGCTCTTACCCACTCTCACTGGCTCATGTCTGCCAAGCATTCCACCAAGGCAGCCAGGCCAACACAGCTGAGATGCTAACTTATGGTCACGTTCTTTGAGAAAGGACTCTGTCCACAGGAGGGTCCCGCCTGGTTAGGGACTCCGATCCTGCAGAGGACGGTTTTTGGGGCGGAGGCCTTCCCAGAAGAGACAAGCGGCCGCTTAGTCACTGAGCTCCTGAGGAGGCTGTGCTATTACATCACATTTCCTGCGAGGCCAGAAGGAATGACTGGTTCTGAGGACACGGAAGATTGCAGGAATATATAATCTGCACAATGTAGGCAAAGGGCTTTATTCCACCTCTGCATATATCTCTAGGTTTCCACCTCAGAAACCATCTGTGTGTCCCCTCTCTACATGGGCACAACTCTGCATCTCAGAGCAGTAAACTCCATACCTGAGATGCCGAACAGAAAGAAGAGCCCACGGAAATGCAGGAACCGGAGCAGTCCCCTAAGAGCACCGCCTCGCAGATAAAGGTGCTCAGGGGACGGCTCCTCAGGCTGAATCACCTCATTTGTCTATTAACATGAATGCACAGTCTGTGCCTGCCTGCCTGCCAGCCGCACTAAATGCCATACCTCAAATATTTCTTCTCTGGATACTTCGATGCGGCAATGACCGGCTTGGGGTTGCTGAAGCGAAAGCTCGTGTCTGAGGACCTTCAGTTTCTGAACTAAATCTCTCTCGTATCTCTGGGCGGGAAGCTCCTCGTCTTCCACCGAGCCCTCGCTGGGCAGCGGCAGCGGCTGGCTGGGCTCCTTTAGTTGGCACTGGTGACTTGAGAAGAACAGAAGCATCAAAATCACTCCAAAAGCAGCGGCCAAGGGAGCTGCAAGCAATGCCCCCTACACCAAAGGGACCGAGAAGAGAGTTCGTTACATAGAACTTCAAGTAGACATTTTCGTCTCTGATGACGTGGCTATGTAACAATTGCTGGTGGCCACCGTTAGCTTAAATATAGGCCTAGGATACCATAAAGGAGCTACCCCCCTTTCAAGCATCAGCTTAGCTCATACATTTTCATTGCTATAAATAAAAGCAGCAGTTGCTATCATTTATCATCTTGTATGTGTCTGAGTCTGACCAACGCACTGTTAGGTAGATGCACCTTGGCGGTTAGAATTAAATGGGGTTGACGTGAAGCATGGAAAAACAGATTCTAGTGGAGAGGGGCAATGTGCATAAGAGCAAACAACTATGTCAGTCTAATGGCAGCCCATCCTCATTTTCAGAACAACAGATTATTAAGCTCACTCATTAAAAGCAGGATTCCAGTAACATGAAAGGACTAGGACCAGCAGAGGGACAAAGTGACATTTCTCTTGTTCAAGTTTTGCTACTCATGTCAGATGTCAGTGAGAAGAGCCTTGTGGGCGCTCACGCTGTGAGAACACGCAAACCCTGCATATATCTCTAGGTTTCCACCTCAGAAACCACGCTGTGAGAACACGCAAACCCTGCATATATCTCTAGACACAGTGTGGGAGCCAGATAATTCCCAGCCCCAGGTTATCTGGGAATGACAGGCCCGGGAAAAGGCTCCAGCGAGTGGCACAGTGACTGTGGCAGTGCTTCTGTACTGTGATGAGCGGGCATTTCATCGCTTCTCACTTAAGAGCCATGCCTTTCAGCATGGCGCTGCGTGTGAAGCTTCGTTAATGCACCTCCTGACACCGGCGCCTCCGTGAGCTCAGCCTCGGCTGCAGGCAGGAAAAGGGTGGCAACAGCAACAAGATGCGGCTTCAGTGCGCTCATAGCTAACCCGAGAGTTTAACACATGCAACTATCCACCAAATACTTATATTGGCTTATGTGTCTTCTCCACTAACAAACAATGCAGTAGAATAAATTAAAAAAAACCCCCAAACATTAGAAAACACGAAACGGTAAACGTAAGCAGTCATCAAGGATTGTGTAAAAGTTGTACTTACTTCATGATGTGGTGTAACCGTGGGTCTGTAAACTGGGTTGTTCGGTTATTATGATCTACAAAATATATTCTCCCAGAAACTGTACTTCTGACTTCCCAACCTGGTGGCAGTGGTCCAAGTTCATCACAATTCACACTGTTAAGGTCTCTATCAAAACGGAAGACACAGAGAGGTTTGTCCATCTGAGTCTGGAGGCATGAAGCTAACACTTCAGCAAGAGGAGCCACAGGAGTCCCTTTCTGGTCAGTGTGGCCATGTCCCAGTTCTGCTAAGAGGGACAGTCATAGTGCTACTTACGCCAAACTCCCACCGAATCCAGGCCTCTGTGCTGCGAGTGGCAGCAAATCCAAGAGATAACAACGAAACTTCCAGAGCCTATAACCATGAGAGGGAACATGGTCTAACCAGGGAACATCACTTCTTAAATCACAGAGGGCCAAACGGTAGGAAGGATCTGAATGCTGCCGGAAAACTATCTGATCTCACAAGTTACAGTGAATGAAATGCTCAAGGCCAGAAACATTGCTTCATCGAAAAGCCCCCAGACAACACAAGTTTTGTAAAGCTGATAGGATGAATGAACATGCATTTGAAATCTCGCAATTCTAAACAGCTGCACCGGGAGAGGCATTCTCATTTTTTAGTTGGTTTTATTAAGTAACTATTCCTAATCCAACCTCTTAATTATTTCAACACAATCCACAGTCAGATGGGAACACAGCACTACTGACCAAGATGCTTTTCTAATTAGCACAAAAGCCTGACATTTCTTATAGTGGGTACTGATGAGACACCTCATCCATTTGCAGGTAATTGAATCAGAAATTTAACACAGACTTGGAAAATCAAAGACAAGAAGCTTATTCTCAGATGAAACAAATTATAAATAAAAAGGAAATAAGCATTACTAAAAATGTTATTCGGTAGTAATGCTATTCTAAAAAAAAAGAAAAAAAAAGGGGAAAAAAAAGCAAAGCAAAGCAAAGCAACATAACTCTGTTACGGGGCGAGGTGGGGGGGTCTCTCTGACCTGGGCTCAGATGTTTGGCCTTGCAGAAGGAATTCGTATAGTAAAGCTTCATCTCCCCCAGGAATGGTCCCCAAGGGACTGAGGCAATAGGGATAGTAAAGTAGAAGAGAGAAAGGGTAATAGTCTTTATCTTTCCTTTTAATGCTTTATTATGGAAAATTTTAAGCATATAAAAGTAGAGAAACCATAGTAGCCAACTTCAACAATTACCCAGTCATTGTCAACCTATTTCAGATATACCCCTGTATCACTGCCCCACTCTGATTATTTGAAGCCAAGTCCCAGACATCCTATGATTTCATCCATTAATATTTTTAGTTAAAATGAGAATACATCTTGAAGGGCTTATTGGCTTTCCGAGCAAAGTATATTTGATTTAACCCAGGGTGGGCCTTTTTTGGTTATGTGATCTGATTTCAAGGTCTAGGATTGCTTTCTAAGAAGCCTCCGTTCCAGCAGCTGCTGTTTTCCCAGGTGGCACTGGGACACGGACCCAGAGCTGGAGCCCAGGACCCCCGGCAGACATCCTGTTTGAGCTGCCATTCTTCCAAGTTCACATCTTCAACCTAAGGGACTTTCGTCCAGTCAGGGGCCCCGGCACCTGCGGGAAATCTGCCTTTGGTGCACGTCTTAGAAACCTACCTTGGTATTCGGGGGTCGTGCCATGTGCTCACTCCAGTCTGTGTGTGCAAAAAGTAAACTTGCCCCTGCACTGTTGTTCTTTGTTCTGTGCAAGAAACCGGAGGGACACAATTAGTTAAATTCAATTCCAAAGAGTTTTTCAATCAGGCCTCTAAGCATAGAGTCTAAGCTTTTTTTTAACATTGATTAAAATCACCCAGAAAAGGAATGAAGTCTCTAGCCCTGTGTAAACGTCTGGGCCTCCTTCATTCCCCGTTCACACCTGGACAGGCGGTGCTCTCCTTCCTTTGTCAGCCCTGGACCAGCCCCCGTTGTGTATCCACCACCCCAGGACTGACCTTACCTGACCTCTATTGCCTCCATTTGCTCTTACTTTTGGTAATAATGTGCCACATCGATATCACATTCCTCCTGCATTAGGTTCTCAGCTGTCAAACGAACCCTTCTTTCCAATCTTAGCCATACTGTCCTTTCCACATTCAAATCACAGAGCACTACAAATATCTCATCTACCCACCACCATCCTGATTTTCTTGGCTATTCATTGGCCTGAAAATGTTCACAATTGCTGAACTGGAAGACTGGTATACAGTGCTGACAAACTCGTGACGAGCAAGATTTATCCCCATCTTTTTTTGGTTACCCGCCTTTACACCGACACAACCATCCCACAGCACAGCTCTGCCAACATCAGCAGCTGCAAGTTAGGCAAAACGGTTTAAAAAATTAAAGCTCTCTGAAACATTGTAGATAATGCACATAACAGCGGGTGAGTTCTCTCACCGTAGCCTTCGGGCAGTTCCGGGGACTGGTGGCCATGCGGGCGGTTCTGAGGCGTCTGGAGGGACCCTCGGATCTCGGGGTTTCGGAGCCGCTGTGCCTGAAGCCTTTGATCTTGACTCGGGGATTCCCCAAACCTGCAGTTCCCCCCACCAGCAGCAGCACCGGTACTGTCTGTGTAAGGGGCGGGCTCCTCCATGAAGCAGCTGAGTGGCCTTCCAGGCCCGGAGTCTTCATACATGGTTCTGAAAGGGGGCGGAGCACAGCACGCATGGGCACATGGCCGAGGAAAGACCCTGAAAACTTGACGCAGTGCTCTCATATCCATTTATTTTGCTTTACTTGAGCAATATACAGTGTCCCAAGTGCTCAGTTTCATAAAATTCATCCTGTCCTAGTTGAACAGAAAGACTTGTAGAAACAAGTAGCTAAAGAGAGCTATAGGTAAAGTGCCATCCAAGCCACTTGTGGGTTCTTCCTCGGGTAAAGCTAGTGATTGGAAAAACCAACCTTGGACATGAAATGAGATTTGATTTTTCTTTATTTAAAGTCAAATCCAAACATTCCATTCCCCTTTTTATTTTCCTCTACCATAAAACTCCTTGTTACATAAAATACTTTAAGTACTCTTTAACATAGATCTCCACCGCTGAGCAAGTCTGAAGACAATTTACCTTGATAGGCCATTTTCTCTTATAAGCAAGTGCTTAAAAAACACCATTTTACATTGAAAAATTTCAAATATATTCACAACTCGGAGATGACCCTCCCGGACTCCTCCTCCTGCCACAGCAACGAAGGCCTGTGGCTGCCCTTCCCGTCCCTCCTCGCCAGGGGATTAGCCTGAAGCCAATCCCAACAACTTCCTAGTTCACCTGTGAATATTTCAGCACATACCTCTAGAAGATAGACTTTTTCCATTTTCATGACTAAAAAAATGTACATTAATTTTTAAAATATCAAGTATAGACAGTGTTCACTTTTTCCAGTCAATTGTCTCCTTCAGGATCCAAGCGAGGTCCCCACATTGCATTTAGTAGGGATGCGTTTAAGTCTTTTATTACGAATTTATGGGTTCTCTTCCTTTCTTGTGATTTATTTTCCCAGCATGTATTTGTGAAGAACTGGGCTGTGTCTTCTACTCTCTACTGTGCACCCCCTTCCAGACGGTGCCAGTTGCGTTCCCTTGGGAGTCCCCTCGATTCCCAAGAGGTATGTCAATGCCAGATTACCTCTCTTATGCGATGTCGCTAACAACTATTAATAATTATCAACCAGCTTCATTAATTCACTGACAATTGCAAAATTGTGATAGTAACCAATGAAAATTTTCAGGGTATTTTTAAAAAAAAGTATTTTAGGGTTCTTTTCTCTCTTCCTGTGTCATTATGAACACATAATTTTCATAATTAACATATTTGATGTGTTTTAATCCATTAGTTATAATTCTTACTGATGCTCAAGATGTTCCATCTTTGGCCAGTGGGAACCTCTTTAAATTGGAATCTGAGTCTTTTGGGCACAATCCCACTATTCTTTACAGCTTATTTTACAAACAAGGGGACTGGATGCCAATTTTATCCCAAAGTCCTTTCCAGTGTCTTAAGCATTCAGCACAATGAAAGGTGTGAAGGACACTTTCATACAGAGCGAGAGCCTAAGGCAGTGGGGAACTCAGCAGGCATTGCCATGGCGATACGTACCCTTCATTTTCTAAGAGTCCTCTGCAGTCTACCACAGACCCTCCAGTGCCTATTCTGTCTCGCGTCTGTAAACTGACTAAAACAGAAAAGAACATCATGCATTAAAACCCAGTGGTTTTTATACAATTGTAATACAATGAGCCATTTCAGGTGCATAATTTATGCACAATATTATTTTCTAAAAGCGAGGCATGTGCATATACAGAGACACATATATTCTTATGCTTTCAAGCATAAAGTATTTTATTCCAGTAGCTGCATACCACCATACACCGCCTGGAACATTCCTTAAAATGTGGAGCAGAAAGAGGTAGTGTGTTTTTAGTGCTCTCCATAAACAGAACAGAACACAATATTCACTTCCTCTATGTTACCTTATCCTTTAAGGAGATCTTGACATGTTTAATAAGGACACAGATAGCACTTTTAGTATTTGTAAAGTCTAGATGCATCTAAATATTTATTCTCAGTGGCTACTATAAACAACAAAGACAATTATAAAGCTGCTCCCAGCTATTCATTTCGCCGGCACATCTTTCCACAAAGAAAAGAAGAAATAGAAACAGGAAACATTCAGTGAGAACTTTTTCACTTTGACAGTTTTAGGATCTATACCCGCTGTTCATTTACCTTGGGCCAAGCCTACACAAGGCAATACCTAAAAGGTTTGGGGTCACTCTGGTGTGCTGCTGAAGTACTACATTTTCTTTGATTCCTTGCAATGCATACAATCAGCAAACACAGAAGATCACAGTTGCCCTAAAATGCTGACAAAAACTGGATAATATGATGAGCTACTTAACAGATAAATCACTTCCAAGAGAATACTGCCAGTCAACACTTTGTAACATTAGCACATTTATTAGTTTATTCTAAATAATTCAAACCTCTAACTCTATCAAATGTTATTACATGGAAGTCTTCAGAAATCATCTTTGCTTTTTAGATATTTGATGGGTTTTCCTGAAGAAACCATTTCTCAACTATTGCATTATGTGGCCACCGTTCTTAACCACCTCTGGATAATATAATGACAAATTAATTATCTATAATGGGATGATTAAAATGACATTTAAAATTATATTTTGTACCTTAGTCATTTTAACTCAACTTTGAATGATAGGTTGAAGAGATAAATTAGATAAAATAACCAACACTACACAAGAAGAAACTTTTTAGTGCTGAAGAGATGGCCCCCGTAAGTGGTTTGTCCTTCGATGTATGTCACCATGCCCGTGCCTGTATGTGTGTCCTCAGTGATGGAGAAACTGAATGTTAAGTTGAGCAAAAGCATCTCTTTATACAGATGAGAAAGTTCTTACCCACTATTTGGCCACGAACTGCATCAGTATCTGAGGGATTTAGTTTGCATAGATCCAAACGCTGGTCTGCAAACAAACAATTCAAAACTTAACCCAGCGAAATGTTAACTAGGGAGGAAGGCAGGAATTCTGTATTCAGTATTAAAAAACGAACAAAAAAGATGCCTCATAAGCCTCCTTCAGCTGCACGAAGAGGCAGAGAAGCGTTGGTTTCTTACATCCGGTATCTTTTAATCTGCTGATGGCATTGGAGAGCAGCCGCACACAGCCCAAGAAGCCAGCTCCCTGCTTCTTGTGAATTTTCTTGTGGTTCCACACGCTGATGGTTATAGAGTCAGTTTTCCCAACGTATCTAAAAACAACATGCAAACTCACTTTTAATTGTATTTCTGAATTATGATACAGCCCACTGAGATTCTGTCTGATTGACTTGTTAGCATAGAAGAATCCTTTAAAAATAATATTGGTTTTTGCCCTAACCGGCTTGGCTCAGTGGATAGAGCATGGGCCCGTGGACTGAAGGGTCCCAGGTTCAATTCTGATCAAGGGCATGTACCTTGGTTACAGGCACATCCCCAGTGGGGGGGGGTGCAGGAGGCAGCTCATCGGTTTCTCTCTCATCGATGTTTCTAACTCTCTATCCCTCCCCCTTCCTCTCTATAAAAGAAATCAATAAAATATATTAAAACAAATAAAAATAATATTGGTTCTATATTCCACATGTGGCAGGTACTCAATAAATATAGGTCTTTTAATCTCAATGGACTGGGAAAAGAACTATAACAGTTATGTAAGATGCAAATGTAGATAACCACATAAAGTTATAATCTAATAGAGACTTATCATATATATTTATTTAAAATTCTCATCTGAGGATGTGTTTATTGATTTGTGAGAGAGAATCATCGATTGGTTGTCTCCTGTTCCAGTCCCAACTGGGAATCGAATCTACAATCTAGGTTCGATTCCCATTTTGGTGTACAGGAAGGGACGACACTCCAACCAACTGAGCCAATTGGCTGGAGTGAGATTTACTATATTTTATTAGGTCCAAAGTTCAGTGACATGATTATAAACCTCTACTAGTGTTAGGCTTACTACTGAACACTAGTTTGCAATAGAGGACTACCTATAAACTGGTAGATCCATCTAAAAATCACTAATGGGTACTAACTCAGACATTAACCTCCCACTTACTCTCAGTGCAAGTCAACCAAAGTGGGGAGCTTTCAAGACAAGAATTGACAATCACTTTCCAGGCTCCTTATGGCACCTCAGTATCGCTGAAAGTGAGCCTTAGAATCCAGCTATTAAAAATCCCATCCAAACCCAGTTTAATTTGTGTTACTAAAAAACCAATAGTCATTCAGTATTACTTTGATAAAAATTTCTTAGCAGGAACATGAAAACATAAGTGCATATAAAATAGTGGGTTTCAAAGTACAATTCATTTTATGAACAAATACAAGAAATTGTTTGATGGTACATAGGTTTATATACATTCAATCATCAAACTATATTTTCTCTTACAGAAAATATATTTGAACTAAAAAGCAGAATTTAAAAAATAAACAGAAATATATACAACATGTATTTGCATAATAGATAAATATGATAATAATGTATTTTTAAAATAAAAATTCTAAAACCAGGTTTAGGGTTTCACTGAAAAATTAGTATATAGAAGGCCTGAACTATGCCCCCTTTTTTTCTGCTAGAATGGGCCACTTGATTGAAAAGTCTCAGAAGATCACAGTTAAAGAAGTAAACCATACAAATATATAAAAATGTCTAACGCAAGAACTTCCAAGTACATGAATTCTAAAATGAGGCAGTATTAATTTGCCATACTTCGTTATCAATAACAAGTTACAAATCCTTTAAAAAAAATGAAATGCTTCTCTTAAAAGCAGGATACCTACTATCCTGCTGCTCCCAAATGGCTTACAGAATATTCAACTCACAAATCATAGTGCTGGTTCCACTTTGGGTCCAGTGTGTTTTTCACAGTGTCCGTTGAGTGGCACTGCCCAGATCCATCCACAACAATCTTTGCAAAGGGGTCGGGGAGTCCTGGAGAAGAGGGGACAGCCACAGATCCATCAGTGTGATGTTAGAACACAGACTTACAGGTTAACTAGTTAACCCTGGTTGACTTTATTCTCTACTTTAAGGTCAGTTCCATCTATTTAGCTTTCTAAGAACGGAAACTTGGGATGACATCACTCTCAGATTTTTAGAGGCTAGGAAAAAAGACACACCCTATAAAAAATAGGCTTAAATTCAAATTCCCATTTTTGATGATCACTAAGGGGAGGCTAATTAAATGAAGGAAAATATATCTATAATTAATTGTATTTATGCTTTCTAAAAAGTCATACTTAGAAATCTTATTTACTGACTGTCAATTTTAACTCTGGAAGCAAGTATTCACTGAGTCCTAAATAAATCAGACAGGTTACAAGACCAGAGCAGTGGCAAGGTAAAGGGTTTAGAGCCAGATGTGGATGTGAGCCAACGCTCTGGTGCTTCCCAGCTACTTGAGTAAAGCCTGCGAGCCTACGTGTCTGCATCCTTAAAGCATGAATAACTGAACTGAGCAGTGTCCTTGTGAGGATCAGGAAAAAGGTGAAGAATTTTAAGCTGCAAGCACCTACTTTATAGTAGGTGAATTTCTTGAGTTAAGGGGTGAGCCCTTTCTTTAGAAAAGGATCCTCTATTTTTCATAATTCCTTTAATTACAAGACTTTTAAAATATGATTTAATTTATAAAATTTGACTAACAATTTTACTTAACTGCGGCTATGTTATAGAAAAAATTCTCATCTGTATTTGAGCTGAGAACACTTTATTCAGCAGAAAGTAATGTATTAATGGGTGGAAAGACAGAGAAAACAGGGTGTGGCTGAAATAGGGGACGAGGGAGTTTTTCTTGTTGAGTTATAAATTCTCTGCCTTGGAGCTGAGTCTATGTTGTAGTCAATTGGGAAATGAAGTTTGTCAGACCATGGATTTCTATCCAGTAAGGGAAGAATTTTTAGGAGAATACACCCAGTGTTTTTAATGAGTTTAAAATTTCAGAAATATGTGAAAAATATTAATATTGTAAGAGAGCAAAAACGGGTGTTTACTTACTGAAGAAGTCCTTCTTTGCAAGGTTCTTGGCACATAATACTAAAAACAAACAAAAAATGCTAGGGTTAACACTTATGAACAAGGTTTTTATCATAGCTGGTTGCTATGGACTAAACTGTCCCGTACCACCCCAATTCCTATGTTGAAGCCCTTTCCATCATGTGATGGCATTTGGATGCGGGCCTTTGGGAGGTGCTTAGGTTTCAATGAGGTCATGAGATTAGGGCTCTAATAATGGGATCAGTGTTCCTATAAGAAGGGACCACAGAGCTTGCTCTCCATGTGAGGGAACAGCCAGAAGATGACATCTACAAGCCAGGGAGAAGCCCGTCACCAAGAACCAATTTTGCTGGCACCTTGATCTTAGGCTTTTCCAGTCTCCAGAACTATGAGAAATAAATGTTTATTGTTTAAACCATCTAGTCTATGGTATTTTGTTATAGCAGCCCAAACTGACTGAGACAGTCTATATAATCAATGAAAAAAAAGATTCTAAAAATTATCTTTGCTAATTGCCTTTCAAATTTAATACTACATTAAACAAAAAACTGTCAAGTAACTAAAAAGTGTTTTCTCGCCCAGCTGGCATGGCTTAGTGGTTGAGCGTCAACCTATGAACCAGGAAGTCATGGTTCGATTCCCAGTCAGGGCACATGCCCGGGTTTGCAGGCTCGATTCCCAGTGTGGGGAGTGTGGGAGGCAGACCATCAATGATTCCCTCTTATCATTGATGTTTCTTTCTCTCTCTCCCTCTCACTTCCTCTCTAAAATAAATAATAATAATAAAGTAACATAAAAAGTATTTTCTCCTTCAATTGGGAATCAACTAAAATAAATAATAAAATGTTTTAGTTCGAATTTCTTAAAATCTTACTTAAACACATACAGATAGATCTATTTTTTATTTTTATTTTATTTTATTTTTTTTAAAATATATTTTATTGATTTTTTTACAGAGAGGAGGAGAGAGGGATAGAGAGCTAGAAACGTCGATGAGAGACAAACATCGACCAGCTGCCTCTTGCACACCCCCTACCGGGGATGTGCCCGCAACCAATGTACATGCCCTTGACCGGAATCGAACCTGGGACCTTTCAGTCCGCAGACCGACGCTCTACCACTGAGCCAAACCGGTTTCGGCTACAGATAGATTTATCAATATGCTCTTATAACTGCTCAAGTCACATAAATACCTTTTAGCTATTATTAAGAACAAAAGAAATTGTTCATTTCTGATAAATAATACAATTTTGTAAGTGTAAACTTCAATATATTGGAGAACAGAAAGGAAGGGGAGAGCAATAGAAAACATGGTGTTGTGAAAAACAAACAACAAAACATATTAAGAGTTTAGCAAAACGTTGGCACGTAGAATAAATGCTATTGTTGTTATCTTATTAATTACATGGTATCAATTACTATTAAGAAATTTTAACACCAGGTCAGTTACATGATTAAAGCTACTATTGCAAGGGTAAATATACACTGATGTCCCTTTTACATTGCTTCACAAATTTTGCTATTTTTAAAAATCCTCACCCAAGGATATGCTTATTGATTTTAGAGAGAGGAAGAGAGAGAAGAAGAGAGAGAGAGAAAAACATCAATTTGTTGCCTCTTGTACATGCCTGAATCTGAAACCTAGGTATGTGCTCTGACCTGGAATCAAACCTGCGACCTTTTGGTATATGGGACTACGCTCTATTCAACTGAGCCACAGAGGGCAATTTTGATAACTTTAAAGAATGTAGTGTTTTGCTATGAACTTACGAATATATTATTTAAAAAATACATCCATATAATACATATATTCTACAAACTTTTCACTTACTGCATTTTTATATAACAGGTTTATCAAGATATAATTAATATATTATACAGTTTATCCATTTAATGTATATACAGTACAATTCAATGGTTTTTAGTATGCTCACAGGTTTGTACAACCATCACCACAATCAATTTTAGAACATTTTCATCATCCCCTAAAGAAATCCCATACCCATCTATTAGCAGTCACTCTTCATTCAACCTCAAATCTCGCCAGTCCAAGGCAATCACCAGGTCTCTGTAGATTTGCCTATTCTAGACATTTCATATAAATTGAATTATATAATATGTGGTATTTTGTAACTGCCTTCTTTCACTTAGCATGTTTTTAAAGTTCATGTTGTATTATGAATCCATTTCTTCTCATAACTGAGTAGTATTCCAATGTATGAATAAACACATTTTCTTTACTATTTATCAATAGATGGACATTTGGGTTGTTTCTGTCCTCTGGTTATTGTGAATGACGCTTGTACAAGTTGGACAGAGTGGAGTTGCTGAGTTGTATGTTTAACACTTTGAGGAACTGTCAGTGTTTCCCACAACACCTGCACCACTTTATATTCCCACCAGCAGTTACGAGTTTTTTATTTCTCTGCATTCTCAACTAATATTTATCATCTGCCTCTGTGGTTTTATATAGGTAGTTTTAATGTGCATTTCTCCAATGACTTTGAGTATCTTTTCATGTGGTTATTAGCTACTGATATATCTTTTTGGAGAAATTTCTATTTAGATGTTTTTGCCTATTTTTAACTAATTATTTGCCTTTCATCTAAATATAAAATATACTTATCAGATTTGTAAATATTCTCCCATTCTGTGGGTTGTCTTTTTACTTTCTTGATGTTGCTCTTCAAAGCACCAAAGTTTTTAATTTTGATAAGATCCAATTTATCTATTTTCTTTGGTTGCTTGTGCTTTGGTATCATGTCTAGGAAGGCTCTGCCTTACCAAAGGTCATAAAGATTTAGTTCTATATTTTCTTCTAAGAGTTTTATACTTTTAGCTTTTTAAATACTTCTAGGTACTCTAACTACTCTTAAACTACTCTTTAACAGACATTTAGGTCTAGGATCTATGTGTGGGATATAAGAAGGGTCCATATCATTTCTTTGTAGGTGGATATGCATTGTACAACACCATTTTTTTTCTTTTCATTTTTTATTAAGGTATTATATGTGTACATATCTTACCATTGCCATTTGTTTTTAAAGACTATTCTTTCCCCACTGACTTGTGTTACTACCCTTGTGGAGAAATGAAGTTCTAGTGTATTTTATAAAAGTTTTCCACATTTCTAATTGGGTTTACTCCTGAATGTTTTGTTTTTTGTTACTGTTGTGAATGGAAGTGCTCCTTTCATTGCATTTTCTAATTGTTATTTGAATATAGAAAAGGTTTTTCTTACATTAATTTTAAATCAGCCATCTTTTCAATTCTCCTCAAATGGACCAGCTTCCCTTTACTTTCCCACAGCTCTGAATGTCTCAAAGATTCTCATATCAAACCCAAACTGTCCAAAAGGAATTGAAGCCTACCCTCCTACCTAAACACCTGGTCCTCTCCCAAGATTCGTTTCAGAGAGCAGCAGCAACACCCACAACCGCACAAGCCAGAAATCCCTATGCCGTGCTTGTGCTTCTCAATCTCTCACATATGTTGACTTTTTGCCATCTCCACCCTTGTTCAAGCTCCAAAATTAGCTATCACAAAGTACTTTTTAAAATTTAAATCTCATGTCTCATTCCTTTTTAAAAATTCCACAGTGGTTTCCCATTGCAAAATTCTAGATGGCACGTTCTGACCCGACTACCTCAACTCTCCAGCCTCAAATGTTATCCACCAGCCCTGGGCCTTCGTTTTTCTGAGATCCTGTGGCTGGATTGCTTCAGACTGGAAAAATTCCCATAATATCTCAAAAAGATTAATCTTTGTTGATATTTACAAGACTAGCAATGTTTTCATTTAAGGCTCCAGTGGAATTTGGTTATATCGCAAGGTGGAGAAGCTCTAAGTAGTGTCAGCATGAAGAGAATTTTGCCTCAGTTTGGTGCAAAGTTCACTTAGGGTCATACTAATTCTAGTTTAGTTAATGGCATATGATTTCTCCTACTAGAATAACTTTGTGATATTGAGATAGAATTCTCTTTGTCCACTCTAAGGATGTAATGATAAAAGACAATTTATTACACAGCACAAAAATCCCACATTATCTGAATCTACCACTAATTTTTAAACAAATATGTTATACTCCAATTATAAATTAGGCTCTGGGGATACAACAATGAACAAAAGAGATGTTTATAGAAAACGAAGCTCAGTTTTTCAGTGTAGACCACTGCACGGCTGCTTCAATTCCAACTCTGGTAAGTGATACTTCTTAATCACATACCAGAGATCCCTGATGTTGGAGAAAGAGTAAGAGCAAATTATGTAATGTTCACTTAGCATCTCAAAGTACACAGAAGGGCGGTGTTTTGCTAACTTCTATATTCAGTTAGTAAAGCAAACTTCTTTACCAGGCCCCTGACAAAAACAAGGATCCCCCACATACTTCTTGTGGCTGTAACTTTTATCCCCTCTTTTCTTATGTTTATATGTGTCACCAAGTCCTGTCTTTTTTTTCACTAAAAGTCTCTTGATCTTGTCCTTTTTCTGTACTCACTCTCCTGTTCTTGGCTTCACCTTTTTGCAGTTATTCTGAGAGCATCAGTGCCCTCCCTAACTCACACTACATTCAGACACCAGATCCATCTTTTCACATGACATTTTTGTGTTCTGAGGCTCAAAATTTTCAATGGCTCTGTATTTATTTTACCGCAAATCTAAATTTCTCCTGGGTTTTCAAGTGTCCCATTCTCTACTATCACTTTTGCCTCTCACTATTCTTTAAAGTATAGTTCAGTACAACATGCTACTCGGCCATAAGAAAGGATGAAATAGTGCCACTTGCAACAACATGGATGGACCTTGAGAGCATTATGCTAAGTGAAATAAGTCAGTCAGAAAAAACTAAGAACCATATGATTTCACTCATATGTGGGATATAAAACTGGAAGTCATGAACATAAACAGTGTGGTGGCTGCCGGAGGGAACAGGGTTGGGGAGAAGGGGGTCCTAATATAAAGTGACAGGAGAAGATTTGACTTTGGGTGGTGGGCACACAGGGCAATATACAGATCTTGTAACATAGAAACCCACCCCT